ACCAAGTCCAAAAATAATTTGTTCATTTTTTAAATATTTATATTTTATTTTGATAGTGATTAATATTTACATTTCCTTGCATCAAGCATGGGCGTAAATCCTTACGTAATACCTATTGTTCAGGGGGGGATGAATGAATAGATCACCCCCCCCCCTGAACAATAGGTATCAATTGCAGATTTACGCCCATGGCATCAAGAGTAGGCCTAGATCTTCCATGCGGCCCTAATTTAATATTTGATAGAAGGACTTGGCACGGTTATTTGCCCCCCCCCCCAGCAAAATCCCTGCCATTCTGTCATACCTACATGTAACATACATATATATACACAAACAGAGCACTCTGATAAGTGCCCCTTCACCTTTGATAATTGCCCTATTCAAATCTGAGAGGTATCTTTTTTATTTTGACAAATGCCCCTTTTCCTTCGTAGAAAGTGCCCCTTCCACTTTTAATAACTACTCCCTTTTTAACTCGGATAAGCAAACCTTATATTTTCACATGAGCCCCTTTTCCTTTCTAATAAGTGCCCCTTTTCCTGATAAATGCCCCCATTAAAAAAGAGCCCCTTTCCCATCTCATAAAAGCCCCTTTTCATTTCTGGTAAATGACTTTTTTCAGGTACAAGAAGTTACTCCAGAGTCCATTTCACTTTGATTAAGTGCCCCCTTTACCTTTGATAAATCCCCGTAATAAAATCTAATTGGTGCCCCTTTTCTTTCAACTAATGCACATTTTCCTTTATTATGCCCCTTTTTTATTCTCATAAGGGCCCCTTTTCATATCTGGTCATTTCCTCTTTTCAGGTGCGATAAGTGCCCCTTTTCACCTCTGATAATTTCCCTTTTAACAATGGTACATGCCCCTTTTCCTTTCTAAAAAGGGACCTATCCCCTTTTCATAAATGCCCCTTTTCACCTCTTATAAATGCCCCTATCAATATCTGATGGGTGCCCCTTTTCTGTTGGCAAATGCCCATTTCCTAATCTTGGTGCCTTTTTTCATCCCTAGTGAGCGCCGCATTTTAAAGGTGTAAGAAGTGCCCCATTTTCACCCCTGATAATTACTCTTTGTACTTTGACACATGCTTCTTTTTTCTGATAAGTGTCATCTTTTCCTCTCACCATCAAATGCGCCCCTAATTTCAAGTGTACTACCGTATTTGCCGGCGTAAAGGCCGCAGTATTTTTGGAAGAGAAAATATCAAAAAGTTGGGGTGCGGCCTTTACGACGAAAGAGTAAAAAAAAAGAAGTCAAAACCAGCATGAATTTGCACGTATGGGACTAGATCTACTAACGGTACAATAACTAGATTGTACAGGACATTTAAACACATCTTACCGACAGTTTTATCTTGCATTGTTGACATGAATACGAAAATAAATTGCTAAACCAACATTTACCGATAGATCTTGATCTAAGTTCGTGCCAATGCATTGCAAAAGTAAAGGAAGGGACCATTTATCGAAGCTGCCGCGAAGCATCCATCCGAAGTCGCCATTTTGTTTTTCCATTTCATGCAGTTTCGCATTACACCGTACATTGTGGTAGGGGTATCGGACACCAAATCTGCCCGCGATCACTTTTTGAGCTAAACTTCCGGTAAATTATAAGAATATTGATGAATTTGGTATCAGTTTGTAAAAAAAAAATAGTGTTTTACAAGAAAATTACGATTATTTTGTTTTGTCCGTTGGGTTTTTTTTTTTTTTTTTTTTTTTTCCTCTTTGAAATGTCCAAGTTGGGGGTGCGGCCTATGCGGCGGTGCGGCCTTATCGCCGGCAAATACGGTAATTACCCTTTTGCTTCATCAGACAACTTGGATCAAGAAAAATCACCTAGAAAGTAACATGTAGAAATGTGATGACCTTTTTATTTGCTTGTCAAAGGTTTTATAAGCTTCACACTTGTCTCCTCCCCCTTCCCCACTGAAAGAGAATCGTTGATTTGTTTGTGTGTATAGTCGCCCGATTAGAATCTGAGAATAATTGTTTTAATTTTAACACCTAGCCTAGAAGTAATCAGTAAGTTGATAATAATGATACTAGTGATCAGTGGCGTACGCAGGATTTTTCAAGGGGGGTGTTTAGAAATTGGATGGCATCATTAATGTGACCCCGCAAGGTAGCGAAGGAACTGAACAGGAGAGGGTGTTGGAGGGGGTCATTCACGTCTCGAATTTCGATATCCTAGCTTTAAAAAACCTCAGGTTTTCCTGCATGTTTTGTTCTTCAAGATTTAACAATCACCTCTCACCATGGACGAGAGCCTGGCAGAGCGACTTTAAAAGTGGGGGGGGGGGGGGGAAGGGCACCAACAAAAAAGGGCACTTTCTGGAAAAAAAGGGGGGGGGGGGCACGCACAAAGGGAAACCTCAAAGCAAAAATATACAATTTATAGACATTTTTAGGCCATATGATACCCCTACATTGTGATTAGATTATCAGGGATGATTTCATTGTTTGTTTTTCTCTGCACATGGTCCAAGATACTGCTTAACCCTTACTGTCTCGACATTTTCGGAGATTGCGCCGCAACCGCTTGGAATTTTGAATTGTCGTTTCTTGACTTTTTTCCCTCAAGTCTTACGCACATTTTGATACCATTTTCGTTGAAATTGGATATACCTGTAAGGTGTTACATAACAATTAGTATGCGCATGTCATTAAAAAGTGCTATAATTGCATATATATTCATGTACAAGCAGAAATGTGAATACAGGTTTAGATTAGGACGATGTATTTCTTCCTAAGTGGGAGATATGAATTGATATCAAATTGCTTTTATATGTTTCTCAAAGTAACTTGATGTATTCACGAACAAAAGAATACATTAGAAATAAAACAACAATAAAATACATAAGAAAATAAAATGATGAATTTCGAACTTTTTTTCTTCAGAAAAACATTTTGAGATGAAGGAAACATTTATTCAATACATTTTCAAGATTATTCACAAGTCTACAGACAAATATGTTTTCTGTAAAATGCATAAAATTAGCATTTTGCATAAGTAATTAGGCTATGACGACAAAAATTTGCTTAGTAGGAAAAAACTAATTATACCATCTTGTTCCTGACGTAAATATCTACAAACATGCACATTTTTGTGTCCTTCGGACATTCAATGGCCGAGATCATTGTGGGGGGGCCTCCTTGCCCCCCCCCCCCCCAGTCAGTGAGGTGCTCAAAATAGCTCAGTACAGTAAGGGTTAAGCATCATACTTTGCAGTTGAGTCTGATGGTCTGAATATTTAATTTAAGATTTCAATTTTTTAATTTGTGAAGTCGCAAAGCGAAAAATTACATCTTATAAAGAGGGAGGAAAAATCCTAATCATGAAAGACTTAAAAGATCTTTATATAAGAAACAAAATCATAATAACTTAAAATGCAAGCGTAGTGATCGAGCTTTGGGTGAAATGAAAGAAAAAGATGCTCTTAGTCGCTTTAAATTAAGAGTACATTTTAGGGTGAGAAGAAAAGGGGGCCCATATCCAGAGGGAAAAGGACACTTACTTAAAGAATTTACAAAATAAGGCATAACAAGTTTTGGGGAAGGATATTCGTGTGCATGTTGATAACGTCGGTCGATAACAGCACAGGAATCAACAACCCTCCCCTCACTATACCAACCTCAATTAGCTCATTGATTTATGAATTGATGTGAATATAGAGGGTGAATGTTGATGATGATGATGATGATGATGATGGTGACGACAAAAATGTTGAAGTTAATCATGATGAGGAAAGTTATGATAATAATCTTGATCAAATTAATATTATGATGATGCTGGTAACAAAGATAGAATGGGATGATTAATGACGATAATGAAGACATTTGATTGAGATTATGAAATGAGGACATTTTATTTGTAATAGGAAGACTAGTTTGTAGGGATTTATTTTGAACTCTTAAACTCCCCTTCATATCCATGATTCATCCCTTTCATTATCCCTCATTCACATTCACCCTTTTCATCCACTTTCCTTTCATACATCTATCTCTCTCTCTCTCTCTGATTGGTTCAATGTTCACCTGATGCAGTTAAGCTTAAAGTATAATTTACATATACTATGAATATTTAATATATACCCTTTGTTTATTGTTTATGTTTGAATATTCAAGATACTTTGTGATGTTGATTTATACTTGTATGTGACTTTATGAATATTAATTTGTTTCTTCTACTTTGCATGGAATGTATGTGGAATGCTACACAGAATGCAGTAATGTTTTTATACATTAAAACCTGGTCAGTTAGCCATTAGTTATCAATCTTACAACATGTCTGCTGGGGCTGCCTCTGTGTTAAGAGTGCTAGGAATTATCTGTTAGAACTGCAACCCTACAATATATTAAGCAGGTGAAGGGCTAAGAAACCCTCACTTAGCCCCCTGAGCCCCTCCCATTCTTTGCTTCTTGATTATGTCAAATAATCGATGATTTCTCGATGAAGGAGGGGGGGGGGGGGGAGAGACATTTCCTCATTCAAAGGCCATCTCTGGCCTTCCTACATACATAGGTCACAGGCCCGTAACAAATAGAATTTTACTAGGGCTGCAGACATTACATGAGGCGGACTAGAAAAGTTTAAAGATTTGTGAGATCGCATTAAAGGCATCGTTTAACAACGTTCAATCTGAGATGCATGGCCCTAGAGCATGGCCCGAGCATTCACATCAAACAATGAAGAAAAAAATTCAGAAAGTTGAATATGTTGTGACTAAAAGGAATGCCTGTATGTAGTAATCTTAATGTAAACATTATATTGAGGAACCGAACAACATTACAAGCATATATCAATTAAAGAAATCTAGAACTTGCTCATTTAAGAATGTGTGCTACAATGATTATCTCATAAAAACAGTACAGGCCTAATAAGATTAATAAATGACCACTCAGTTTTTCTCTTCTCCTTGCAGTCTATTATGGAGTATCCACAAGACAACGGACCGCCTGCCGCCGTAGGTCAATGTGAACGTGGGGCCGTGGGCGACGGGGAGAGGTGTAAGTGGAAGACGAGACACCTCTCCCGCGTGTGCTACCAGCATCGAGATGTTTACACGGCGGAAGAGTGAGTACTCAAACAATAGGGTCGGACAAAACTATATAACCCAATAGGGGGTTTCTCAACAGCGATACAAGATTTTAAAAGTAGTCAACAGATCTTGATGGAAATTGTATGGAATTGTTGGTTGAATATATCCCCTAATCTTCATGTACATTTCAGAACTACAAGTTAAGATTGTTTTTTAAGGCTTTATTACAAACAACATCCAAGGAGAATAAGCGTATCTGTACCCTAAACATGTTGTGGCAAGTTGTCACAAGAATTCTCCTGCTTTACTAGAAGAAAAGGGGTCATATCACATAAATTTAGGGCATGGGAACGGTCCATTCTATTTTAAGCGATAGATTTTCAGAATTATTTGTTTTCTTCAGAAAATTGTAGAATTCATATTTAGTGTTTGTTGATTAAATCTTAATAATATATATTTGAACAGTTGAAAATGTAAAACATTATTTACTAAAAAAATAAAAAAATACTTGGTTTTGTTTCCTACATCACAGCTTGCGTTATAAGGATGAAAACTTCCTAAGTTGATGAAGTAATTACAGTTTCATGAAAATCTTTTTGAATATTTACTTTAAAAAAATTAGTTATTCATATGTTTTTGTTTTATCATACCGAAGGTGGCTTAGTCACTGTTATCCTTTAGGGCCCTGTGCATATAAATATGAAATTCAACACAATACATGAATGAGAAAATGAAACAACAACAACATGTAACATTTCCATTAAAAAAACATTACAAAAGTATAATATAAGAGCAAGTAATACGGACCAACAACGTTTGCAAAGTTTGTCATATAAATGTATCAATAAAAGTATGGGAAGAAGAAATATAAGTTGACTTAATAATTTTGTACTTCGAGCGAATGAGAGCGGTGTCAAATGATGTCATATGATCAACAGCACAAGGTGGAAGTTTATTATATAGCTCCCTCTCAAGGTCATGATATTAATTAAGCTATAAAACAATGTTTCTTGACTAAAATCGATTGATTAGCTATTTCCGTTTGGAAATTATATATCACAACTACATATTCTGAGATTTTCATGGTCAAGATATTAATTAAGCTATAAAACAATGTTTCTTGACTAAATTGATTGATTAGCTATTTTCGTTTGGAAACTATATCACAACTAAATATTCTGAGATTTTCATGGTCGTAGCTACCATTGTACGGCCGTAGGCGCTATTTGAGATTCATCAAAATCTACCGGGAGCACCGGTAATTTTGATATTGAATTTTTCTCGAAAGCGGAAATGTTTTAGGGGCTAAATTTTCTAGTGCTTATAATACATCCACAGAGGCATCCAAATATATCAAAAATGTAAAGAATCACTATCCACCCATGTTTCTTATCAAGAGAGTTTTTCAGCTTATACATATTTTGAAATCTGAATGATCAGTTTAAAGGTATAGTTGAGTATTGGTAATTTCCAAAGTGCCCCTCCAAAACAAATTTGGTTTATTTCAGTACCATATGAAAGATCATCGAAAAAAACATGGGAGATGATAATAATTCCAAATCAAATGCTCTAATTGTTGTGCAATTTGCTTTCAAAACATTATATAAAAGTATTTGACGTCCGGACATCACTTTTGACTTTCGACGGTTTATTTTTTGAATTTACGTGTTTAGCTCCCTCTATGTCATTTAACAACCAGCGTATTTACAACGAGTGTTTGAGTTCGTTGGTACGTACAGTACTAGCTAGCAGGCGGGTATCCGACCGCGCGCTAGTAATACAGTACAGCTGATCAATTCCAATACGCTGCTTTCACGTAAAGTATAACACACACAGCTCATATCAGATTATCACCGGCGCCGATCGAACGCTAGACAGCTACACAGACAAGCTTTGATTGAAATACGATAACGAGATCGAGATTGGAAAAGGGGCTCGAGGTCACGGACGATGGCCGACTCGGACTCGGGCTCGGACTCAGCTAGTGCTAAGCCTAAGGACAAGGCTAAGGCTACGCTAAATCGGAATAAGACTAAGTAAGACGGTAAGAGGAAGGAGAGAAACGAGCAATGGCAGCTCGACCATCCGGCCCAGAGGAGGCGCGGGAGTGGCTGTGAACAAGGCCAGGGTACGGCGGAGAAACTTCGCGAGCTGCAGGCGGCCTTCTCGTTGCCGAGTCTAGAGGATGCAATAGACATGCCAGCTCACTGAGAGGTAAGTTGAAATGATATACGCCCCACTGCATTGGGTAGGCCTACCGTTTTAATTTGATCTAGTCTAGAGACTAGATGCATGGAATCGGCAAATTTAAGAAATTACGTTTTGTTATCTCTTGCCTTGGATTTTTAATTCAGATTTCATGAATCAGATAGTCTAGCCTAGGTCTACAGTAGACCGAAAGCTTCAGTCTCTATATCGTCGGTTGTTCCACTGAGACTACGTCTGGCTCCACTAGACCTCCGGATGAATTTGGTTCAAAAGAAAATATTGGAAGCATATGCGATCCTACAATATTCAGTGAACGTTGTCGCGTTGAAATCGAGTCTAAAGTGATGAAATCGTAAATAATAATCTCTTTATGGGGTATACTATAACTCTCTCTCAAGGTCAATATATTAATTCAGCTATACAACAAGCTACAATTGACCGATTGGCTATTACCTTTTTGAAATTATATATCACAACTACATATTCCGGGATTTTTATGGTAGCAGCTACCGTTGTACGACCGTAGGCGCTATTTTAAATTTATCAAAATTTACCGGGAGCACCGGTAAATTTTTATATTCAATTTTTTTCGAAAGCAGAAGTGTTTTAGGAGCTAAATTTTCTAGTGCTTATAATACTTCCACAGGGGCATCCAAATATATCAAAATTGTAAAGAATCACTATCCACCCAATTTTCAAAATTTCCCAAAACTTTGTAATAGACCCTACCTTTAATGTCCCTCGTTACAACTGCAGTTTTCTTTGTAATGATGACGTGCAGGGCTAGTCAACCGGGTAAACATCCTGCTCTTTTTAAAAGTCGACAAGGTTATACTATAGCTTGCTTGAGATGTGACTGTCTCATCTATATTTATCTCTACCAAAGAGTGTCTCAACTTCACATACATGACAGAGAACCAATGCATCAGTTATTAGTCATGCAAATTCCAAATCTGGCTAGCTGTGATAATTATTAGAGAATGCCATCTTCAAAATAATTTCTTTTGGTGATTTAAAATCTGAATGTTTTTTACTTTGTGAATGACTTTCGTTTCTTCACTTTTTACAGATATGAAGAACAGACAACACAATCCATCCCCAGCGAAGAAATTCCAAGCAGCAGTAGGGGAATTAGCAGGTGAATAGTACAAGTCACCTTTGACCGCAAATTCATGGAGAACTTGGCCTACTCTGCTGATTTGCTCGCTTCAGGTAGGATTCTGTATACATGTACGAAAGGCTCTGTAAATTGAGAGGAATTTAATGAGAATGCGTTCATTACGTACATGTTTGCAAGATTGAGCTCTTTTTCGGTTATGACCTATAAAATTGGGACATATCAGCAGGTCAAGATAATGCATCTTATTTGCTCATGTGTATGACATGGGATTTTCAATATTGATTTTGTGGTATGAAAATAATGAAATGCCCTATCATTTATATCAGTTTTTATTTTGTTTTCATAATTCCTTAGGCACACCAGCATGCTCGAGTGTTTCCACAACCATATACTGATGTATGCTTCCAAGCGGTATTCCTTTGAGTAAGTATTTTTAGTATCATTTTGTATGTTTGAAGTAAGATTGTGGAAAAGTTGAAACATATCATTACAGTACGGTTACAGTTACAATATCATATTTGAAGCAAATAGCAAAGTTAATGAGAAATTATGAATGACATCTATATAAATGCTGAAATCACTTTTGGATGCATGCAGAGTCTTGAAACAGCAGACTTTGTATCGTACTTGTGTCGGTACCTGATGTTAAGTCAAGTTGGAGTGGTTGTAGCAGGGAAATGTAACTACCTTTAATTAAGAGTCAATAATTTACAACACAAATCCAGAACTGAAGTGAATGGCTCGTATTCACAAAGGAGGTTTGTACAAACCATGGTTTGGCCAAGGTTTACACATATGGAATGCCATTTGTAAACTGATGGAGAAGGAATGTAAACTCCATACTTGTTAACAATGTTAATTTACAATTTACGGTATGCGAGCAGCATTCCATAGATGTAAACCATCGTCAAACCATGGTTTGTACAGACCTCCTACAAACCTCCTTTGTGACTACGGGCCAATGAGTCTGAGATTTGTCTAAAGCATTTACTATTCATTCATCATGGTAGTGGTAATACCAATTGTTTGTCTTATCCATCCAGCTACCCAGCAAACCGGGCAAGGAATTTGCTTGCGGTCATCGACTACATGGCACACAAGGACAGGCCCGACCAGATTGATGAACAAGGCAATACAAAGTGAGTGGAAATTAGAAAGAAAGAAAAAAAGGTTTTCTTTTCTTTCTTGTTTTTCCTATTTTTATTTGTACATTTTTTTTTAGATGGACAAGGCAATCCAAAGTGGGTGGAGTAAAAAAAAAAAAACATGATTTTTTGTTTTCCCTGTGTAGTTGGACAGGGCAATCCGAATTGGCAGTTCTTTCCCATGAAATTTATCAATTTTGGGGAAATTATTAAATATCTAATTGTCCTTCCTGGGAACGCCCCTTTTAAATCGCCAAAATATGACGTCATCTAAAGAAGTTGTCCCTGTACACGACGCACATCTAAATTATGTAGATGACGGACTGTAAGCTGATGGTTTGTCAATCATGCTGCTGATTTTGGACCCTAAATGCGGACTTGGATTCAGTGTAATAATATACTTGGTGTGTAATGCAAGGTTCTGGAGTCATCAAAATCATCATAAATTTGGCAGAGTTTTGGTAAAGTAACAATCACTTACACAGAAAGATGTATATGGGACAACACACATGGTGTCGGCCTGTCGGGGCTAGTACTACCCTGATTTCCTTATCTTTCTATG